CTCTTTGAAGTGGCCCATGGATCTGACAAGATTTGCAGCCCTTAGCATAAGCAATACAGTCTTTCAGGACAGACGGCCAGAAGAAGCCATGTCTGCGAATTAACCAACGCATCTTGATCCCAGCCTGGTGTGCACCACAAATCCCATCATGGACATCAGACAGCATCTGGAAACTTTCATCTGGACCCAGACAACGCAGCAGTAGTTCATCATTGCCTCTCCTATAAAGTACATCCTCAATCAAGACATAATTGAGAGCTTGCATTTTGGTTTTCCTAGATACCTTAATGCTTTTATCCTTAAGGTACTGAATAATTGGAAAGCGCCAGTCCGTCTGGGTAACATCAATGCTGCAAGTGGAGACAGTCATGCCACGTTGATGAATTGATGGCAGACTGCGTTTTTCAATTATTACAACTTTCTGCATTACACCTTTAGGAATTCGCAGACCTGAAGCAATCTGGGCCATTTCATTAGCTTCATAGTTCTGGTCTCTGGGCACATGTCTGATGGACACGTCATCAAATTCTTCCAGCAATTGCACAGTCAAGGCAAAATAAGGGGCTAAAGCAAGGCTAGTACATTTGTACTCACCAGACAATTGCTTCAAAACTAGCTGTGAGTCCCCCATAACCTCAACCATGGATACTTTAAGCTCCACCAACATCTCAAGACCAATAATCAAAGCTTCATATTCTGCTTGATTATTTGTGCAATTAAAATCCAGCTGGAAAGACATCTGTGTTTTCAGCCCAAACGGGGAAATTACCACGACTCCAGCTCCAGACATGGTTTCTGTACTGGATCCATCAAAAATAAGTTTCCAGGGAACTAAACTTATTGAAAACAAGTTAATCCCTTTTTCTTCATCTACCTCCACGTCCAGACATGGATGATCTGCAAGAAAGTCTGCCAGTGCCTGCCCTTTGACAGCCCGCTGTGGTATATACTTCAAATTAAACTCAGACAAGGCAAGAATCCATTTACCTATTCGGCCTCTTAACAAAGGGCGGGACAACATATATTTGACAATATCAGTCTTGGCAACCACATACACCTCAGAATAAATCAAATAATGTCTTAATTTTATTGCAGCAAAAAAGAGAGCAAGACACAACTTTTCGACCGAAGAGTATTTCACTTCGGTTTGGGTCAAACATCGACTCAAGTAATACACAGCTTGCTCCTGTTTTTTATCATTTTCCTGTGCCAGCAGACATCCTATGGACTCGTCTGCGGCAGATATATACAAAATTAAAGGCTTATTTTTCACAGGCGGTACAAGTACTGGTGGTCTGGATAAGTACCGTTTTATCATATCAAAGGCAGACTGGTGGTGTTCTTCCCACTTAAAATCCGCCTCATACTTGAGTTTCAACAGAGGAGAAAAGACTCTGGTTTTCCCAACCAAGTTAGAAATGAAACGTCTTAAGAAATTAACTTGGCCAAGAAATCTTTGCAACTCCTTCTTGTTCTGTGGTGGTTTCGCCTCAATCACAGCCCTGGCTTTGTTCTTGTCAACCTCCAGACCACGCTCATGCACTAAGTACCCAAGGAAGTTACCTGCAGACACTCCAAAGGCACACTTAAGTGGGTTCATTTTCAAGCCATGTTGCCTCATCCGCTCAAAAGACTTCCTCAAATGAACCAGGTGGTCTACTTCCCCATTTGATTTCACCACAACATCATCAATATAAATTTCCATGAATTTACCAATCATATCATGAAAAATTGCATTCATGGCTCTTTGATAGGTAGCTCCAGCATTCTTCAGACCAAATGGCATCACAACCCATTCAAAAGTTCCAACAACACCTGGGCATCGAAAGGCTGTCTTAGGAACGTCTGCGTCTGCAATAAAAATTTGGTTGTACCCACTATGACCATCCATGAAAGATAGAATTTTGTGACGGGCTACTCCATCAACTAACAAGTCTGCAATTGGCATAGGATACTCATCCTTTGGTGTAGCTAAATTCAAGTTTCGGAAATCAACACAGACTCTTAATCCATTCTTTTTCAGCACAGGCACTACATTTGACA